TCAACTGCATCCTCCAATTGCCTCTTGCTCATTGATTTCCAAGAAATATATTAAACAATGTTATCTCAGTCAGTGAATAATATTAAAGTATTTATCTAACTTGCATGACAATATAAATCATTAAATTACATTAATTATTTGATATAGAATAACAATTAGTTATGTTTGAATCTTATTATTTTTATTTTTTTAATAAAAATTAAAAATAAAATAATTTAAATTTAAATAATATGATTTCTTAACAAGTTTAAACCTGTTTGTTTTTCATTTTAAAAATGCTTTTAAAAACATTAATTAATTATTTTTTATTTTAAATTAATTTTTTAGTATTTTTAGATATTTTAATGTATTAATATTAAAAATATTTTTTTAAATAAAAATATATTTTAAAACCTGAGAGGTAATATCACACCTCAGCCAACTTCAATCCCCGAAACCACAAGAATCCTTCATTAATGCTCCGCTGAAAATGTGATCATTTATGAGTTGCGCCGAGCAAGCATGAATTTCATGCTTTGCAAGAGTTTCAGCGCATAAACAAAAAATACTCTAAAACTTTACATAATTCAATTCCCAATCCCACCACAGCTAGGAGAAAAAGAATCTTGAAATCTCCTTGCACCTCGGAAAATCTTCCTCCATTCCAAGTTATTATGATAAAAGAGGAGAGTGAACGGCAGGGAAACGGAGTGATAGGTGGTGGTAAACTTCACGGCAACTACCCACTAAAAGCACACCAACTTAGACCTTAAGAAAAGTTCAGTAAAAATTCCATGCCGGCAAAAAGTTAGACCCCACCACTCTAGAGGGACAATCCAGCGGTGGCGGCGGAGGTGGCAGCCTTGCCTACCACCTTTAGCGATTTTAAATACTTGTAACAGGCATCATCATTGACGTCTAGAGTTCGAGTATGACATGACTCAAAAATATCAGGGATTTTGTATTTCCTTACTCCAGTGTTGCATAATTGCATTTCATGGGAATTGTGAAAATAATGAATAAACGAGGTTGATCAACGTAGTTAATAGCAACTTGTGCAGATGTTCTGCTTTCTTGCTTTCAATTTTCAAATGCTAAAATGGATTCACAAGGAGTGTTTCGCTCAATTGGTCTCGCATGCTATTCTACCAGCGGGAAAATTTTCGAGACCTAGCTAGGGGAGTGCAATCTTTTCTTTATTACTACTTTTCTTGATTTAAGGTAAATTAAAAATGAAACATGATATTAAAATTCTACAGAACAATTCTGAAAAATCTCATTTCCCATTGCTTTTTCTTTCTTTTCCTCTGTTTCAACGCCACTGTCCCATGCACTTTGTAGATTTTCTCCGAGCTTACATATCTCACAGTACAATTTAGGAAAACTTGCTTTCATGAAAGGAATGACCAATTTAATTCCACAAAATTGCCATTGCTTTTCCTCTTCACCGAGACCTTTGTGTCAATACCATACGGGGTTCTTCACCAACATCCATTTTCCATTTGGATGGCAGGGAATGGGGATATAGGAGAAGGGCTCGCCTTTAGCCAAGGCATCTGGGCCAAAAAGTTGAACCTTTCACTGTTGCTATAGTTCAAACAAAGACGCATATCTAATATTTTGGACCCCCACAAAAAGGTGGCCGAACTCGTGCTTAATGCTGTCACAAGTCGATTGATCCACCCACCATTTGATCACTTGTCCATGTTCTCATGATCTATATATGTACAACTTCAAGACAGATTAGATATGATCGGCCTTGTTTCAACAGCATGAACTGGATTGTCATTATTGTTCTTCCACCCTCTCTTTTCGTCGCTATTGATTGGAAATCGCTGCACTTTCAATGCTGCAAATGGAGATGCCGAGATGCCAATACATGCCTTATCAAGTAAGAATAAAAATACCATTTCCTATCTTGAGCTGCCCTCTGCTGATTTGAACAGCTGGAACAATAAGTGATCAAAATTGGAGTTGAATTTAGATTCAACCGTTGAAACCATTCAACTAACAAGCAAATACAAGGAACTTGCTTATCAAAGAATGAAAATGAAAAGAGGATTGAATTAACTAGTTAGTTAGGACAGACATCATAAGGGTAATCCTTTGCAGAAGTTCTTTCAATTTGCAGTGAAAAATAGAGAGTTACAGAGCGGGGATAGGTGCCTAGGGACACGTTTACTGTCCACTTACATTGCAGGCATGGTCCCAGCTTTTGTTTTTAAACTGCTAAAATAAACAGCAAGAAAATATATTAAAATATGATGATCGATCAACATGAGCAGGGACTAAAATCCTAAAGTAGGCTTCTCCTTCTTGTGATATGCTCATCAGTTGTGATACCAATGAAATTCTAATGGTCTAGTAACTGGTCTTGAAGGGCTTAATAGTCTTGACATCATCAATGACTCCAGCAATAGAGCCAGCGGCAGCAGCTATAGTAATAATGAGGCAAGCAACACTAAGGATTTGGAGGCAAAGCCATCTCGTGCTCCATTTTGGTATCTTCTTTTGTGAAATATACATCTCAACTGGGAAGTAAACGGTCAATGGCCAAAATCCAAAAGCCCCAAGGAGACCAACAATGTCATTAAAGAAGGGAAGGAGCATTGAAATCACAGTAGTAATAACCACAAAAGTTGTTCTCCAAACCGTTCTGAAGAGGTTGATATTGAATGGACGGAGACCAGGAATTGAGATTTTGATATCTTTGGTAACGAAGTCACTATCTGGGAATCTTCGGGCCGCTTCTTTTTCAATAAAAGCAAAGAGGGGTTGGCAGTAAACTTGGTATGCACCTACAAGGTGGATTACAATGGCAGTATTGGCAATGTCAAGTAGCCAATATGGATTGTAGAAGCCAAATCCAGTGAGGAGGTTGCCAGGGGACATGTCTCCAAAAGCAGCATATCCAAAGCAGCCACAGAACATGTAGAAAAGCGTTGTCACTACAACACTTATTAGAGTTGCTTTCTTCATTGTCTTGGCTTCCGAAGGTGGGGCTTTGACAGTGTCCTGCCATGAAATGGACCAAACAATTGGTCAGTTTAGCTGGCAAATCATAGAACAAATGTGAGAATGTATACTGAGCACTTATGTTACAAGAGAATGTAATGTAACATACCTGAATTTCAATGAGGATGATGGAGTAAGAATAGGCAAAAGCAACGTCACCAAGTGCTTGGAAGCTTCTCCATATCTTTTGAGTTTGAGTCACAGTGCCAATACTTATTCCGGTAAGGCTTCCCCTGACTCTTTTATTTTCTATAACTTTACCAATGCCAAGACCTAGGCCAATTGTTGAATAAGTGAAGGACATGACTGCAGCGACAAGGGAGAGCCAGTGCAACTGATCAAATCCAGGAATCTGAGACAGAAGGATCTCAGCTATGCCAAACCCTATCATATATGGATTGGCATTCATGCGGCATGGATCTTTTCCACCACTCTGGTGGAAACAATTAGACCTCTTTATTGCCCTGTATTCAAAAGACAAGGACCAATCAGCCCAACAAGAAGAAGAAGTAGAAGAAAGCAAAGTTAATAACAAATTCTTGGTTGGACTAAAACTTACATCATGCTTATAGAAGATGCAATTGTGTAGCCAATGGCAACCCCGAAAAGGTTCACATACTGAACAAATCCACATATTTTGACCTTCACACCACCTGTGTGAAAATAAAGATCACCGTGTAAAAAAAAAAAGAAAGATACATAATGTTTAAAGTTAAAAGGGGTCATGCTAATTTCATTAACAATATATGTGTCAGCAAATTTACCAAGGTTGGCCCTAACAGCATCCATGTATGTGTAGTTCCTCTTGCCATTGACAGGATCACCGGAGCGGTAGCAGGCAGAGAGCAGAATGGAAGTATAGTAAGTGACAAAAGAGAACAAAAGCATCACAGCTGGTCCAGCAATCCATCCAAGCTGACCTATAGCCCAAGCCAAGGATAGAACCCCGGACCCAATAACAGCTGTTATGACGTGAGCACTAGCAGTCCACACATTTCCTGTTTAAACAAACAACACAAGAGAGAATCAGGATAGAAAAAAGATAACCAAAGTAGTGAACGCCAATACGTTTTTATTTATTTGTGAGAGTTGTCCAGGAAATGAAGAAAAGTAAGCTCACCAGTTCGTTTGGGACGCCCATCATCATCAAACCACTTGGAGTCACTTTGTGGATCTGTGTCAACCGAGACACTGAAAGCCTGGGGTGGGAGATGGTTCTTTGTGGCTGTATTCTCACCCATCTTTGCTCACAAAAGATACCAATTACGTGAGTTATGTTATAAAAGAACATCTAAAGTGTCTGAGACTATATGGAAGTATGTGCACTCAACAAAGTAACATTAAAGCATGTGGAAAAGAAGCACAAGTGTCGAAAGAGAGTGATGGGGCTCCTTCTTTGATAGATCCAAGTGCAGTTATAAGTATGGTGTTTAAGTCTCAGAAAACCGAGAGTAACAACAGCTGACACATAGGCTCAACCACACACCTCCCAAGAATCACAAAACCCAAATAAATTCAGAGCCTACTTTTTATCGGTTCTTCAAAAGGGAGAGGCAAGGGGAGTGTGCTTATTCATCAGGATCAGAGGCACTGCTCTGATGAGCTGGAGAATAGAGTGAACTAAATTCAGAGATACACTGCAAGGCAAGGGATGGTGCGGTATTTATAAGAGGTACGAGCCAGCCCAGGAAAAAAAAAAAAAATTGCACAGGCACGTGGTTTTAAAGTCTTCTTTTCCCACCAGCAATACTTTGTCTCGAAAACCAAATTCAAGCCGTTCATGCTTGTTCTTGGACTTCTACTTGTAAAATCACGAGGGTACCAGATTTCCAATTTTCATTTTTTTTGACTTGTGCACGTTATTATTTTCACTATATTTAAGTTAAATAAAGGCAGTTAAAGACGTTAAGCAATGAAAACATTCTTTAACCGCTTCAGAAGCGATGCTGAATGCTGCTAATTACGTACCTCCTGTTATTGGGGGTGAAATTAATCAACTTTTGGCTATGCTACGCATGAATTCAGGCCTCTCTTTTGTTATTTACAAGGGTGTTCCTTGCACTTTTGTTGCAAAATTGCAATCACAAGGGTTACTGTGCTGCTTTTTCTTTCAAAAATGAGATTCTCTGAGTCATCCCTGCCACTGGTCATGGCTTTAGTTAACTTGGAGCAAATATATATATATATATATATATATATATATTATTTTTGCTCTTTTTACTCCTTTCGCTTTCAATTATCTTTTTCACTCTTCTTTTGTACAGTGAAATGGAGCTATTCTCTCTCTCGGACCAAACTCGGAAATGTGTGGTAACCGGGGTCACCAGAGTTATAATAAGATGGACAAACCCTATTCCGAATAATGAATTATATGCGACATGAGAGATAAAGATTAACTCGAAAGTAGTCTTACCTTCATATCCGGTACCCTTCTGTCTTCTCTAGCACTCTGCTGCTTCTAAAAGCTTGTCAGATATTAACCATAAAAGCTCACGGCAAGAGCTAAGAGCAGACACTGATGGAAGAATTTACGAGGGAGAGGAATTCCTGTGTTGATGTGTTCTCTTGTATCAACCCTCAATGGCTTATATATATATAGAAGCATGCGAATTGAGCCACGTGAAAATAATATACATATCATTTCTCTTCGAAAGACCACCTTTGAATGGAGATTATTCCACGATTAATGTTGTTCGAGAATAGGGTTCCCTTTTTCTTTTATTTTCCATTAAATTGAAAAGAGCATATAAGATCAGAAGAGTGGGATTTTATTTTCATGATCATAAGCAAAAACCATGACTAACATTCGTAGGTGGACAAATGAGCATCTAATTCCCGTCTCTTACTCCCAATGAATGAGGAAGTAAATTAAGGTTATTTTATACCTAATAATAAATATTATTTAAATATCTGAATTTTTTACATGCATGATTATATGGTTTTCTTTTTAAATTTATTTTAATTCCATGTTACTTTTTTATTTTAAATTATAAATAAATAAATTGTATTTCCTGCCCTTCTTTTGGAAAGATGCTAGATGTTCATTGTGCTGGCGGGTTGCCAACAGTTCAGGGTGTACAATAGATTGAAGGGCTCTAAAAACGTTATAGGTAGGCACTGAAGCACAATTGCTAGTAAAACCACCTTACGCTATAAAATCTTAAGTTAAT